ACATGCAAGAGATGTAAGTGAACAGGCCCAGTCGAGCATGGGAAGATACGAGGCAGCTCCTGCAATAATCTAGAATCATTAAACACCTATATGCTACAAAAAACCCAAACCTTTCCAGCTCTCCTCTTATGCCTACTTTCCCCAACATGCTTCCCTCTCCTCTTTACCAGGAGGTGTCTCTTCTCCCTTCTAAGACGCCTCTGGGTGGGTCTACAGTAAAGATATTCTCCCAGAAATGGCACATGATCACAGGAATTCCTGTCCCTGTCCCCATGCTACGCTTGAACTGTCGCAGCTACTCTCTCCTACTTATCCAATGGCAGGAGACAAAGGGGCTGTGACACTGCGAATGGTTTTGTGTGAGCTAAATTCAAACTATGAGAAAATTAAATAGTTGAGAGGTGGCTAATGAAGAGTCAAGTGGTGGTGACCTAGAAATAAAAAGGGTGTCAGCTTCTTACTTAGTTTCCAAGCTTTCTATCTTTCACCATTCTGAGCCATAAAGTATATCTCATTTGAACTTGAACTATGCATGTCAGTAACCATAGCACCTTCAACAGAACATATCTCCATCAAAATTTCCTGTTCCTCTTGAACTTTGAGCTTCAATAACTTGGGACAGGAAAGGGAGGGGAAGAGAGAGTGAGACATCACAGATTAAGCTCTCTGGGTTGGGGGCCGCCGGTGACACAGATAAAGCAGAGGTGGGGCAGGGAGGATTTGGCCCCCAGAGCAAGTCTGGGGGAGGAGATGGTGACCTCGAGAGCACAAGTTAGATACTAAAGATAAAGTAATCGTGAATGATCACAGTGTTCGTTGGTAACTTTTCTTATCTCCGCATATTTGTCACTTTCAACTCCTGGTGGAGAGTTTTATCTGCCCACCACTATGTCCCTAGCACCCAGTGCTTGCCTGGCACACAAGAGACTCGAGTTTCTGGCCATCTTTCATCTCCTCTAGTTTGTAAACCTCTTCCTTATTTTTGAATCCTGTCATAAACTAAGAACATCTGGTCTAGAACAATTTCTCATTTCCAATGATGGGTTCACTCTGATCCTTTAGCTCACAGCTTAAATGTTTTAGCTCCTTGAAGAGTCCTATTTCTATGTAAAGTAAATTATACCCCCCCCACACACACACACAGAGACAAACATACACACACACCCATGTTGGCCTCCATTACGACATCCTGGTGATTTTTTTCAGAGCCAACACAACTATTGGTAGTTATTTCTCTTATAGCTCCTTTATGTGATGGTAATGTCTTAGAAGAGAAAATTTATATTCAGTTTGCTCACTGTGGTAGTCCAAGCAATTAGTACAATGAAGCCCTCAATAAAGGTAAAATGAAAATAATTCATCAGAATTTAATGAATCTACTAGAATTTTAACACTAGGTTATGTGAGTTATTTTAAGATTTATAAT